TGAAACTTCACCACTTCATCACTCACATTAAGAAGACTCTACAGGTGTCCGTATTACTTATTTTAGAGTTATTAATAATGTCTCTGTTGTTCATATACATTTATACTTTCTTTCAGTTATTGTTTGTTATTTTTCTGTTGTAATCTTTGATCAAACTCTGGCACAACAATTTACATCAGGATTAGTAGAGTTCTATCTCATCTTATTTAAAAATGGATAAAAAATAGATTAACGTTAAAAATATATAAATATCAGCTGAGGTATCTTTTTCTAACTCAGTATCAGACTCAAAGAATCTTGTCTCAAACATTAACAAGCTGCAACTATTAAGTCTCTTAATTGATTAATCAATCAACAGAAGACATTTATTGGCAGAATTCTGGTTTCAGCAGCTCAGTGTGAACATTTCATATATTTATATCTTTTCAGTGCCAGTTTGAGACAGTGGGAGTTATACAACTGTTTTAACATGGAAACAAGGGTGTGGAGGAACTTAGAACACACACACTCACACTCACACACTTCAATCACTACTAAATAGCAGAGTAAACAGGGTGCGATAAACAATAGACGCACTTAGAAAGTTTCCAGTTTCCAGGATCAGCTCAATACTTATATCACTCACACACACACACACACACACACACACACACACACACACAGTCGTGTTTCCATCATCACCATAGCTATAAACCAAGGCTTCACCCTAAAGTGTAATGATTTACGTTATGAGGACGTACATTTTGTCCTCCAAAGGAAGGTGAGTCCCCACAATGTGAGTGTGTAAACAGATCTATGTCCCCACAACATGAGTAAACACACACACACAGAGTCCTGGTGGAAACTAATGGAGAATTACAACATCTCAATGTCACATTCACTAACCTGTCTGTCTGTCTGTCTGTCTGTCTGTCTGTGTCTCTCTCTCTCTCTCTCTCTCTCTCTCTGTTTATTGTTGGGGTCTAAAATAGCTGCAGACGTTGATAAGATGGGTGGTATGAAAACAAACTGGATGATGAACTTAAACACAGAGAGAGAGAGTCCACCTACAGTATTTCTCTGCCAGCTGTGAAATAACCTTCGAACTAAAGCTGCCAGTTGACCACTTCTGTTTTCACAAAATAATTATTTCATCATCTGCTGAAATGACACAAAACCATCACACACATCCTCTTCAATTGTTCCTTATACACTAAAAATCCAATCAACACAAATCATAGTTTCTTATTTCCATCATCTGGTTTGTGAACCAGCTCCAGGAAAGCACTGAAATTCACCAGAAGCAAAATAATCTAAACTTAAGATCTACTGGGTCATTTAATGACAAGTGGTTTTGAATTGGAAACAGATTTGATGAATACCTAACCAACATTTCACAAAAGAGCAACACAATCTGGACCTGAACCAAGACACATTGACCCCCCATCAGTAGAATTTGGAGCCGGCCCAGCTTCGGTCCTGGTTCAGGTCTCAGGTCGACAAACCAGTCAGGTGTCGGTTTACATTCACATCTGTCCAAAAATGTCTTCACTTCATTTCATCCCATTAGACATTTGTGTGAAATTGTCATAATTTGCAGATGAAATTCTTGAGTTATGGCCAAAAACGTTTGACCTCCAAACTCTAATCAGTTCAGAGTCCAGCTGGATGTTTTTGTCAGATTTGAGGAAATTCCCTCCAGGCGTTTTCGCGTTAATGAGAATGGACCGAACGGACGGACGGACAACTTGAAAACATAATGTCACACCTTCATCGTCGGGTCAAACTCTAAAAGTTTTCCTCTGATAAAAGATCAACAACAGGTTTTTACCGTCACTGTGTTGGAGTTTCCTTGCTGGGACTGACATCAAATACAAACTCTCTAAATTGTCTGTATTCACATGATAATCTGTGAGTTGACTTTAAAGAAATCACCTGCGACTCCTTCTTACCTGACAGCGGCTCTCTGGGTTTCACCTCCTCCACCACCTCCTCCTGCACCGGCTGCTCCTCGGGGCCCTGCGACGAGTGGTCGTTCATGGACTCCCTCTTCAGCTTCCCCAGGCCCACCATCTTCATGAAGGACAGGCGGCGGCTGGTGTTGTCGCACTCGTTCTCCGAGCCGTTTGGCTCGCCGTTGGTGATCGATTCCTTACGGGAGCCGAGGGTGTCGCGGTATTTTCCTGCAAATCTGGAAAGAAACATGAAGGAAGACATGAGCGAACGAACCCCATCTTCCTCCGTCCAATCCTACCTTGTCCCTTTTTACTTCAACAAACTCTCCTTATCAGTCTTCACCTTAAATCCCATCGTCCCACAGTCCCCCTTCACCTTGACAAATTTGATCCATTTTACTTTATCTAGTCTATAACTTCACAAACTCCCATCATCCCTCGTTAACTTTAAAAACTTCACTAATCCTTCAGCAACTTCTCATCATACCTCTGTATCTCAACAAACCACCCTTGTCCCTATATACCTCGACAAACTCTTATCCTCCCTTTTTAACTTGACGAATTCTCATCCTCCCTTTTTACCTTGACGAATTCTCATCCTCCCTTTTTAACTTGACGAACTCTCATCCTCCCTTTTTAACTTGACGAACTCTCATCCTCCCTTTTTACCTTGACGAATTCTCATCCTCCCTTTTTACCGTAACTCCCATATTCTGTTGGTCCCCCTTCACCTTGACAAATGTAGAAGAGTTAAACAAATTCTACTCTAAGTTTGATAACTATGGTTCTAAGACTTGTTGGAACTCTTTACAGTTTGCCTACAGAGCAAAGGGGTTTAGTGGAGGATGTAAATCTTTGAAATAAGAACCACGCACAGTTGTTTTATATTGACTTTTGTTCTGCTTTTAAATCGTATTGAGTCACATGTTCTTGCGCAAAGGTTCCTATCTAACTTTAATATAGATTTTAGTGTAATATGTCGGCTTTATGACCAGAGCAATCATGTATTGAGATGCGTCCATAAGTATGTGATTTGTGAATCTCCTGCAGGGTGTGGATCAAGATCATGGCCCAGTCTTGATGAATTTCGGTGGTCGGTCTTTTCGTCCAAATAAATATGCTAAAAACCAGGAAATGTTTATAGTTTTTTGGAGGAGGCCCCTTTCCCCCAAACCTGGCCTGCCAGATCTGAGAAGACATCTTTGGAAACGTTTTGGAAAAGGGGCGGGCACTTTCAATAAATACTTGGCAGGTGATTGGATGAACCGTGTGTCAATCAAGCCATTGAAGCCATTCGGGAGAAGAGAGAAAACATCTTTTTTCATGTAGGAAAGCCTTCAGTGTCGCTCTTTCATAGAAGAAATGGGTACAATGAACTATGCAGCTTAGATTTGATGCAAAATCAATGGTTTCAATGTGAACATGACACTGATGAAAATGTGATATTCTTATTGTTTTGAGCCCATCCTTTCTTTTTTTCTATGATTTGCTGGTTTGGTAAAAATGTTACCAGTGATGCCTTCAATGACCTTCAGCTGCTATTGTTTTTTTAAACAAACTGTAACTGCAGATGTCAAAAAGTCTCTTTTTCCACAATTCATTGAGTAGGACAGTGTAGGATCCTGTGCTGTGTTGTGTTAATGTGTATGTTGTTTGTTTGTTTGGTTAAATCTTTGCACTATTGTTTAGTTAGTTAATTTAATATTATTATTCATATTATTGCTTTACCTGTATCTATAAATGCTGCTGTAGTGAAAATTCCCCTTGTGGTATTAACAAAGTAACTATCTATCTCTCTCTCTCTCTATTGTATTTATTTAGACAACCTTAAATCTTCTGGATCTTGAATCCTGAATTGAATCTTGTCCACGTAAACCTCAACAAACCACAATCAAACTCCTCTAATCCTTCGTCCCCTTGTTCTACCTTTCCTTGACCGATTATCGTCGTTCTTAACTTTAACAGACTTCCATCATCCCACTTTACTTTTTGTCTTTACCTCAACAGACTTCCTTCAGAGCTCCTCCTGCCCCTCTTCTTTTTCTCTGCGGGTGACGGCGTTCCTTGCAGTGACCCCTGTGGGGAGGGTGTCTCGCTTCCTTTGCTCCTCCCCCCCGACAGCCTGAGGTTCTTCCCCAGCTTCCCCAGAGTCTTCAGCGGAGACTTTAACTTGAACGACGACCTCATCGAACCGCCTCCGCCTCCCTTTTTTTTCCCCTCGTTGGCCTCGTTCTCGTCCTCCTCGTCCTCGAAGGGGTTGCGGTCCCTCGGCGCGTCGCCGTCGAGCAGCGAACCGCCGGGCGACCAGTGGTCGCCGTGGCCGCCATTGCCGCCGCCGCCGCCATCACGGTCGAAGGGGTTGTGATGGCGATGGTTGGGGGTGATGTTGAGGCTCATCCTGCGAAGGATCCAAGCGTTTTCTAGAGTCGGACCGCCGCCTTTCAGGCGCACTGGGAGGTTTTTGAAGATGGGCATGATGGGGATGGGGGAGGGGGGGGAGGGAGTGAGGAACCTGAGGAGGGAGGGAAAGAGATCAATCAATCAACCAATCAAAGAGCTGGAACTGACAAGACTGTTGAGTCCATTTCTACTGGACAGGTGGGCGTTTCAAAACCTTGATGTTAAAGCAAAATTCAGATCAATAAAGCTAAAATAAAACTTCATGGATCCACGAACATTAAAAGAGTTCCTGAAATAAAGACGTTGACATAAGCAACTGTAAAAATGTCATCAGCAAACATTATAATGTGCCGATTCTCAAACAGCAACCAGCTGAGCAGAAGAAGAACAAACCAGAAACCAAGAAACTAGCAAAAATAAATAAAATGCTATATTTGTTATCAGTTGAATTATCCAAAAACAATGTAATTACTCATCATTGTACCTCAAACGAAACATCAGAGCCTCAGTGAGACCGAGATGCAGTTGAAAGCTCTGGAATAATCTAGTAAATCGTCCTTGAGTTAAGAAATTCCATGCACAAGACTTATTTAAACGTAAATACTAGTTACTAAATCAATTATTAGTTATTAACTAAAATATCACAATAACAGTTTATACATTGATACGTTCATATACATGATACAAATAATAAAACATCTCAATGAACTCATTTATAAAACATTAACATTTCTTTATTCCATTTCTTTTTGTTTTCTGATTAATTCATTTTGTTCTAAAAGTGTAATAATTTATTTCCCATTAATGGTTGTTTTTTTTTACCCAACAATTATTGACAGAACTGATGAATATGAAATAGTTTACTGATTGTTTTATTAGTTTTCTGTTCTTGTAGTCTCCTATATTTACTGTGTGGTTTTACAGTACTACAGTACTAACAGTACTACAGTAAGTACTACAATACAACACAATGAAGAGTTCGTACTCGTCTGTAGTGTTCTGACTTTGAGGGAAGTAGCTGATAAGACTCCACCCTCTCAGAGACAGATGGACTTCATGACTTTATGACTTTATGACATCATGTCAGATAAACGCTCTGTTGTGACGCACGGTAACCATGTCAGCACATCCTCCTCATCAGGACGAAGGCAACAGGAGGTTTTCAGTTTGACCCTTTCAGTCTATGTTTTGGTTTTCATTGCTCCGGAAGATGGAGCGTCATTCTTCTATTTATTTATCGTTTTGAATGCAGTACTTTTACTTCATAACAGAGTATTTCTACGCTGTTGTAGTTGTTGTACTTTTGTTTATTAAGTACAAGGTTTTAGTGCTTCTTCCACATGATGGGGAGAGTTAACTAGTCCCCCCCAATTCGATTGGATGAATCTTTGTCTCTGCCCCCAAAAATCAAGATGAGTCATCAAAAATATTTTGTACATTTTAAAGAAAAAAATTAGATTTAGATAAAATACAAAAAAAAGATTAAAACTTTTGGTCTAAACCAATAACGTTCAACACACATCAGCATCACACAGACAGAAGAGGCATTCAGGGTCCAGTTTGTTTCTGTTCTTTACTTCTGTGATTACGAGTGTTGTACACTGATGTAATACGACAAGTGTTCTCTGTACCTTAAACTCTGTGACTCGGCCTCCACGATAACTTATTAACGTCACAGAGTGTTACTGATCATCACAGACCGACCCTGAACTGAAGCATGGAGCTTAATCCAGATCAAATGAAAGGGTCTTGAACACATCGTCTGCTGTGATTTTAAATGTTAAATGTATCCTTGTTTAATGTGTTTCAATGAAAGTACTAATACCACAGTGTACAAAAACTCTGTTACAGTAAAAGTACTAATACCACACTGTACAAATAATATGTTTCAGTAAAAGTACTCAGTAGAAGTACTAAAACCACTGTACTGTAGTTTGTACTAAAGGTACTACAGCATGGCTGACAGCTTCTTGTGAAAACACTCAAACTGAACCTCAGAACTTCGGTCCAGAAAATAAAGTTTAACCTGAATCGCTGCTCTGCAAGTCATTACCATGGCAACAGCAAAGAGCTCACTTCTGATTGGCTGCCGGCTGTGAGCAGTTCACTTGCTCAAGGACAAACCTTCAAGGATCCCTTGAAACTTTTTAAGGACGTATTCAAACCTCCTCAAACTAAACCAGGTGTGTCAGTGTTCAGGTGAGGCCCCGCCCCCGTTATAAAGCCGCTGATGTCACTCGTTCCCATAGCGATAAACCGTTAAGACATAAAGTCATCAAACATTAATCGCCGCCAGAGATCAGAACGTTGTAATGATTCACCAACACGTCTCATTGGGTCAAGAGAAATCTGATTCAGTCTGAAAGAAACTCAGTTTAAAAGGTTTCTGATAATATCATAATATCATTGTTATTATATAATGATATCATCATAATCACATCATAATATCATCATCATAATATCATCATAATATCATCATAATGATATCATAATATCATCATCATAATATAATCATAATATCATCATAATATCATCATAATGATATCATAATGATATCATAATATCATCATCATAATATAATCATAATATCATCATAATATCATCATAATTATATAATAATATGAGTAGTCTGATGGCTTTACAGGTTTAAAATGTCATCTGAAAGAATTTATATCAAGCTGAGATACAAGAACAATTCACCTCCTTTACTGCAGTAAAAGTACTAATACCACGGTGTACAAATACTCTGTTTAAGTAAAAGTACTAATACCACTATACTATACTTTATACTAAAAGTACTACAAAATCGATTACAGCTGCCGTGTGTGTGTGTGTGTGTGTGTGTGTGTGTGTGTGTGTGTGTGTGTGTGTGTGTGTAGACTTGGAGCGGATGTTGTTCATGTTGTTGGTGTTGGTTGAGTCTCACCAGCTCAGGACACACTGCTGCCAGAAATACACACACACACACACACGCACACACACACACACACACACTGAAGTGAGGGTGAAGTAGGAAGTGATTCAGCGGTGTGTGTTCCATAAATACCCAGCAGCCCCGGCGGCTGTTTTCTTCCAGAGGGTCTCAGGGCATCGGACACAAACAATGGAGCGGAAAGAACAGCGATAGTGAGAAGGACAGAGACCAGGACGCCCGAGTCTCTGCTGTCAGCACCGCCTCTAGACCAGGACCAGGGAGGTCTATAAACCCCGGGTCAGACCTGAAGACCACCTGAGACCCACGGAGTCTGGACCAGAGGTTTGCTGTGAGGTTTCTCAGGTGACATGAGGAAAAGAGGGACAGGTGTGTTCAGGTACCCGAACAACAACAACAGGAAGTCAGGCGTAGTAGTTCATCAGCCGAGACACACCAGAGACCTCCTCCTGAACCAGAACTCAGACTACATCCACACCACTACGATCCTGAACCACAACTCAGA